AAAAAAAAAAAAAAAAAAAAACTCAATACATTGCATACACTTCGCGTACCGTGGTGAGAAATGCTCCAGTGAATCAAAAAAGATTGTCCTTTTTTCCTCCTTTGCTTCGTAGGGCTGGGTAAAAATTGGTTTTGGTAAAAATTGAAATTGGTTTTAAAATAACTAAATTTTTTTTAAAAAAAATTTGACAATTAAAATTGAATTGAAATTTTTACAAATCAATCAGTTTGATTATTAATAAAATCGATTCGGTTTTGATTTTTACTAAATAATTATTAATTAATTATTTTTTTAATAATAAATTATATTTTATTTCATATTTTATTATATTTATCTTAATTTTGATTTTCAAGAGGTTATTTTCAATTTTTAATTTTTGAAAAGTTCAAGTAAAATCAAACCAAAATTTATTTAGTTACCATCAAAATCAAAACACTAAATATAAAAACCATTAAAACTAAACCAAATTCATTTTTTTAATTCAGTTTCTAAATAACCTGTCGGTTTGGTTTCCAAATGCTCCGTCCTATGCTTCGTCCGTGAAGATGATTCTTTAACTGTGACTTTGCCAGAGAACATGTGAGCTCATGTGTTTCAAAAACCTTCATGATCGAATGAGTCAACAATCACGGCTTCACTCCTTTTTTTTTTTTCTTTTTTTTTTTTTAAATTATTAGGAGGTTAATATTGATAAATGTTAACAATTAGAGATTCAATCTCTAAATTTAATGAACAACCCGGTCTCAATGAAAAACACAATTATCATGCCGCTTAGTGGAGTTCAATCGCGGCTTCAATCATCAAATCAGGGATAAAAGAGAGAATGTAGGAAAAGTAGTATTTCATGAAAGTTCAAAAGCATGGCAGGTTGAATTATCTGCCTCTTCGATAATGCATGATGGCATCATCAAAAGTAACCAATGAAATAGAAAGATCAACGTTACCAGGCACAAAACAAACCTATAAAGGCAGGGCTAAATATAATACAATATTTACCTAGAAATATTCAATGACGTGGATTTGTGGTTACAAAGGCCATCAAAACTCGCTCACTTTCCTTTTTTTTTTTTTAATAAGTTGTGAAGAAACAGACTTAAAATTCGTTCATAAAAAAGAGAGAATGCACCTCAAACTAACAAGATGTCAATTGATCTGAAGGGCCAAGTGCCACTCACTTTCCTATCTTATTTTAATGTATTGTAAAAATTTTGAAATCTTCGGTAAAGTGTAAATAAATATTCAATAAAAATTTTAAGATATTTAATAAATTTTAAATAAATTACACCTTAGGTTACATTTTATGCAGTTGTTTTATTTTTTTTAATGTTTAATAATTATAAAATTTTATAATAATATTTAAATATATATATCAATCTCAACTCTAAAAAGAATTATAATCATGACTTTAAATTGTGTCGTTTTATTTAATTAAAATTTAATTTAAAATTTAATTTTATTAAATATTATTATTTAAATTTAGAAATTGATTAGATTTTTGAATTTTAAATTAAAATTTTAATTTTTAAATATAAATTAAAATTGTAATTTTTTTTAAAAGTCGGGACTAATACATATTTACTCTAATATTTAACTATAAATATAAGTTAGAGTATTTTTTATTCATTTATTAATTTATAAAAAAAAAAGGCCTAAATGTTAGGTATGAAAATATTTAAGCATAAAAATTTAATTAATTTAATTTTAAAAAATAATGATATATTTCATGATTTGTTACTATATTAATAAATTAAGAAAATTTATCAATTGCTATCTATTTTTTGTCTTTATATTGATAAATTATTTGATATTATTTTTTCTCTCCTTCGTCGTCTCTCAACCCCATCTATTTAGATACTACATTTTTCTCAATTTTTTACATTAAAACCGTATCTCTCCATATCTTTCTATAAAATACCTTCAATTCTCTTGTTTGTTTTATCATCATATATTTATGTTATTGTTATGCATTTTAATTCATGCTTAACTTGATGCATGTATCTCTTCTTATTTTTTTACTTAAACGGATTTTTTTCCACTTTATTTTATACTTTTATTACTTTTTTGAATCCATTTCAGTCTTACTCTAATATTTTTTCACATTATTTTACACTTTCATTACTTTTTTAATCTATTTCACTTCTACTCTTTCAAATTATTATTGTATGTTTGTGTGTATGTGTATATATATCTTTCTAAATCCCTTTCAATATTAGTAAATTATTTTTGTTATATTTTACACCTTATTCTCTACTTCTACTATTCTTTTTTATTGTATATTTCAGTTGAGGGAGGGAAGGGGAAGATTTTTTTTTAATTAAATTATAATATTTTTTAAAACGTTATAATTTGGTTAGTTAAAATATTCTCTCTTCCCCACCCTACCCCTTTCGTCCTCACCGTTTCCCTCCTCACCGTTTCCATCAATATATTATTAATCTTTTCTTGTATATGTATCTTTCAATTTTCTTTATCAGTATCTTTTTATTGTTATATATCATTTTTTAACCAATTTGCCTTCCTTTCTCTCCCAAATGTTTTCAAATCAAATATATAGAAGGTATGACTTATTAGTATTATTCTCTTGATATTTAACTTTTCATTTACGTTTAATCCATCTCTCATTAATTTTTTTTTGAGATTCCATGTTTTCCCTCCTGCATTTTATATCAACGCTTTGCACTAGTTATCTATATTAATGTTTATTAATTATAAATTTTTGTATTAATAATTAATTAAAATTATATATTAATTTTTTTTTATAATTAATGTAATATCCAGAGTCTCATATTGAAATGGAAGTGTGAGTTTGATAGATAAATGTAAAAACCAATTATTACTAATAACTTGAATTTAAAGTTTTGAAGGCCCATGAACTTTGGCTCGAAGGATTCTTAGATTAGTGAGGGGTTTCAATTTAGGTTGTTTCAATTAATAATTTTAAATATAATATTTTATAAAAATGTATAAATAATAGATATAAAAGAAGATTTAAGCATATAAATTTTATATTTTTAATTTAACATAAAAAATTATAATCAAAGAGGAAATATAAAATAATATTTAATTGATTACATATTTAAATTGAGTTCCAACAAATGACTAAATGACTTTTAGTATATATTCTCCATATTTAACCAGTTTTTAATATAGGATAAATGCATCAATAACCTGTTAATCCGAGTGGAAAAAACTCAGTTTCCCTTAAGCAAAATCTCAAGTTCGAATTTTGTAAATAGAGAAACAGGCACTGGGAGAGTTTTCTCCCAAATGGGATCCAACACGACTCGATTTCGAATTAGTCAGAACCCAATATGGTTACCAAATACTGAGATGTTAGTATAATATATATATATATATATATAAGATAAATGCTTGTTTAAATATATTATTTTTGGAAAATGATGTGTGCACACTCGGATCCAACACCCAGGCATGCACATATCATATAAAAAAAAAATGCCCATCACTCGGTCCAATTTTTTTTTTTTTTATGTGGGGGGTGCACACCCGGGTGTTGGATCCGGGTGTGCACCAATCATTGTCCATTGTTTTTACATCCTTGAGCAATCAAGCAATAAATCAAACAAATACTAGGCTATTGCTTTAGTACAATTATCTTATTTCAAAATAGAAGTTATCTCTTATTTTCCGTTTATATATTTTCTTTGTTTTACTTTGATTAAATAAAAGTCAATATTTATATTTTTTAATATAAATAAATATTAATTATTTCATCACATTTATAGGAGTTATTTGAATATATGCTGTGATATCTAATGATATATCATTCATATTTTAAAGTCCTACTAATATATTATTCATATTTTAAGATCCTGTTGGGAGATTGTGGCTTGATTGTTCTTATGATTTTGGTGTCGGTATTTCACTTACAATTTCCATTTATTTTCTTATTTTGATACTTTTTCCTTTGGTGATGAATCATATTTTCAAGTATCTAGAGATTGGGATTATCATAGCTAACTTAAAAAAATGTAGAGTGAAAATTCTCTTAAAATGCATGTAATGCTAGAACAAATGTATGTTGCTTGACAGCTTGGATTTGAGATCTCTATGCTAGTGTATTTGTCACGCCCCATAACTCAAATCCGAGGACGTAGCAGACGCCGTACACTCGTGAAAGGGTCCCACAAATGCACAAGGTTCGGAACTTATCCAATTCACAATCTGATACCATCAAAATCTAAAGATCAAATTTTATAATCTGCTTTGATATCATAAAATCTCCAAATACACTCTAGTTTACAAGATCATGATTATATCTAAAATCTATATCAATCTTGAAATGGCTAGCTTTCTAACTCGTCACTTCCCGTGGTTTCCCCGTCCTTGGTTTCGTTTCTTAAAATAGTGAACAAGGAAAAACTATGAAATAAACTTAGTAAGTAAATATGGAGTGCCCCTTATTAAACTTATAGCATGCCAACAAGTGTAATCACGAAAAACAGATACAGTACGGGAACGAAATAGACGTCTCCTCTATAGATCACGGCCAGTATTATAAACCTCTCATTGGCAGGCACACTATTTGCTGGTGTATAATCCCCACTAGCAGGGTCACTCGTACGAACAGGCTCTATCAGAAACATGTCGACATGTGCTAACGTTTAACCCCCACTAGCAGGATCATTAATAACATAACCACATCGGAGACAAAACATGCTGAAGTTAACAGAAAAATCATAATTTACGAATCACTTTCAAATCATCAGGACAATCAATTAAACTTTCAAGTAGGCATGCTCAATTTAATGAAATGCATAAAAATTTCACTTCAAATCAGTAAAACAGGTTTAGTCCCGCCACCACTTCAAAAACAAGTTAAAATATACTTTTCAAATCGAAAGGCGTTACCATAATTTACTTACCTCACTCACATAAAATCGAAAACTCGATCTCAGTGCTAACTGACAGATCTCAGTACTAACTGACAGAACGATCGGGAACCTAATCAAAATATCCAAGAACTAATACCACTATCACAAATTCAAGGTAAAATCATCATTAGGTCTACCCCTAATCACGGTGCTATTTCTATCCCTCTCCACATTTTCAGATATCTCCAAATTCGTTATTATATCACAAACTAATCATTTAAATCCCCATTAATTGTTCGCCATTAGTGAATGAGCAGTATTATGAACAGTGCCCGTGCACAGTGCTCGTGAACAGTACTGATATTTCCAGAATTCAACTACAGCCAGCTAAAAGACCAGAAAAAATGGATATTTCATCAGATTTTTCAGAGCAGAAAACGGACTGAAAAGGAGCAGAAAACAGTAGCAAATTGCAGAATTTTCTGCGTGAAACAGTAACTGGTACGCGTGAACAGTAACTGCACTTCCAAAATTGGCCAAAACACTAGCTAATTCACGGGATTTTCTCTTCAAAAATCACAGCAGCCAACTCAAGCAATTACACATGAATTAAGCTTAATTATGCTCTAATTACTACCAAAATTCATCCCCCTAATTCAACAAATTTTCGGACAATGCAAGGGCAGCCACTACATAGATAAATTCAACAATTAAATGGGTGGAATTTGGACTTAGAGGAGCTGCCACATACCAGAATTCTCCAGCTAAAACCGGAGCTGCAGTTGGGGAAGTTGCCGGCGGGAATTTGGAGAAGAAGCTCACGGCCTACCTCAAAATTGAGGGAAATAACAAGAAATTAGAATAACCCAACTTGAATCAAGGCTAGAAGGACGAATTCTTGGCTATTTCTTACCCAAAAACCCCAGCAATTCGCACCCCACAAAGCAGGAGCAGCCGGTGGTGAAGAGGAGGAGCAGAGCAGATCCGGATTTTCTCCGCAGGGGGGGAGGTTTCTGGGTTCTAGAACAAGAAAAGAGGAGAAAAACACAAGCTTCTCACTGGTTTTTTTTTCAAGAGGAGGCTGTCGGGGGGCCTGGGTCTTCTTCGGCTGCAGGGGAGACGGAAAGAAGAAGAGGAGAATCGGGCAAGGCTGGGAAGAAGAAAAAAAAATCCTCAGATCCTTATGCAAAATCTTTTCCCTTTTTAAGCCCCTCAACTTTCATAATTTTGACTATTAAATCCTAAAATAATATTTTCTCCAAAATAAGTCCCTAAATTATATAATAACATCCCCGAAAATTTGGGATATTACAGTATTATAGGCTGCTCGGCACTATGGGTCGATTACGCGGGCACTACGGTAAGAAAAGAAATAAGTAGGGAAAAAATTTTAACTCTTGTTATAGTTGGATATATTGTAATATTAAATATGTTAAATTTAAATTATTTTGATTTTATTTGACAAAATATTAAATTAAATATCTCTAAATTAATTCTCTTTGTAAAAAATAAAAAAAAAATCCTAGACCAATTAATATCAATGAACTCAAAATCAACATAGGACAAATATAACCTGAATCATGAAAAACCAATCTACCATCTTTCAATCCTATTAATTGTATTTAATTGATATACATATAATCATTTAATATTAATACCGGCCTTTTGAAGAAAAAAAATCTAGACAAATTTAAATAGATTCATTACTTCATGGTACATTTTTTAAGAAAGAAACATCATGTTTCTAACCCTAACTCAGATGAAATATTCAAGGCATCATCATATGAATAAAAAAAGGTTTTCCTCTATATCATGTTTCTAACCCTAATTCATTCCATCGCAAATTGTGGCTGCTATTTTCTCCCTTTTTTTTCCTTTGTCCGTCCACATATATAAATAGAAATAAATTGTAACCTAATGCTATATAATTGGGAAAGTAACCATAATGCTATAATTGTGGGACCCACACCCTAATATAATTAAGGTTTATGCAGTAAGCATAGTTTGTACTGCTACACACTACTATTAATTGAAGTTTATAACTTTATACTGCAGATTATTATATAATTATAAAATATAATATCTTAGATTTATTATTAAAAGATAGATTATTGTATAATTATGCAATATAATATTTTAGATTTATTTCCTATTCTATAAATTCCTATGATTAATTGAGTATTTAGCCCATTAAGTATTTATTGAGGATTTTTTAAAACCCAATGAGTATTTATTTGTGAATTTTAAGGAGAATTTTATTGTTATAGGAGTTTTATATATAGTTAAGATATCTAATGAGTCCTTCAAAATTTTCAATAAATACTTTACAAAAATTTTCATAATTTTTTAATAGTTTAGACTTTTAATAAATTAAAAGAATATCAAAATATTTTAAGTTTTTCACAAAATCTTTTTCTTTCTTTTTAGATTCCTTATAGATGTTTTTACTTCCCACTTACACTTGAGTATTTCGTTTAAAGTTTTTTTTTTTCATCAACATAATTCTTTTAAAGTTGATATAGTTATTATTAAGTTGATACATATTGATTAAGTATACCACAATACCTAATATTATTTACATCTTAATTATTGTTTCCTTAGTCCCACAATAATTGAATAAATAAGAATCAATTTGTGAAATGCCATTTTGATTATAGTATAATGTGCAGCTATACACTAAGCACATTATATGATTGAAGTAGAAGTCATATTATATATTTGGGTAAATATAGAAGTTGGATTATTATATGGTAATTGAAGTTAAATTTGAGAACATTTACTAAGAAATTTGATATAATTAGATTATTACTAAGAATTATTATATGAAGAATTTTATTTAATAAGGAATTATATGTATCATACCCACCAACAAATTTGAAATTGTATTAACTTAATTTAATCAAGGTTCAACTTAATGAATTTTCTTTAAAATGTTCATTGGATATTTATTTAAGATTTTATTAAAGATTTTAATAATTTTTATAATATAATAAAATAATAAAATTATTATCTTTGTTAATTACCAAAAATATTGCTCCTTCTATCCCAATATAATTATTGTTTTTTAACTTTGAATTTATCTCAAATTAATTATCATTGTTTTATTTTTTTAGTAGATAAATATTTTTTCTAATTTAATTAATCATTATTCTTTTATTTTGATTAATTATTCTATAATAAAATGTTTAACTTCATCTTTAATTTTTTTTTAAATAATATAAATAAATACATAAATTATATTTAAACTTTTAATTAAAAAATTAAAATATATAATTATTTTAAAATAAAAGGAGTAATACAAAGAAAACCATAATAGCTCGGCTTTAAAATCTTGGAATCCACCCATCTCCTTGAATGAAATTTTGGACCGAGTACAGAAAGACATGAAATGCCGAAATTTGGGAACTCCATTGCACCCTCTTAGATACATTAGATCCTGGTCCAGAATTCTGATATTCTCCATAGAAAAGTGTCTTCAATGCAAAGTCACCACTCCATGGCATCCACCCATAAGGATGAATGAGTGTCCCGAAGATACACTGAATGAAAACTGTTCTTGAGTACTCCTTCCAAGGTCTTCCCAAGTAATTCTTGTGTACTTGAGGATTGCTATGATAATATTTCATGTATTCCTCAGTGCCATCGACCAAACAATTTTGAAAAACAAAACCCGTTGTTTGTGCAGGGTCTATCCTGCCATGAGCAGTGATAGCATTGTTCTCACCTTTTTCAGGCTTCACTTGTCGTGGAGCAACTAAAATCACACAATCTTGGAATATTGCAGCAGAATTTCCAAAAATGAAGTCCACATTCCCTTGAATACGGCATTTTTTGTAGAATTGGCGAAGTGAGTGAGCATAGAGAGTATCTTGATTGCCAATGAATTCACAGTTCTCAATAATAGAGAGATCACTATCTGATCTAAAAGCTACAGCTTGGTGAGCATCCGGACCTGCTGTGTTCTGGATTGTTAGGCCGCTTGCCATAAACCCATCTCCCATAACTCCTGCAAAGGATAGAGTCACATGCATCAAGATTGTAACAAAATTCCTTAAATTATTTCAGAATTCTAATCTCTGTTCTAACTCAACCATGCAAATCAAATACCATTAAAAATTATTGACCAGTATAAATGATTAGAAGTTCATCTGGTTCTACTTTATTCCCATTCTACCACACACTTAATAATGAACCTGTAATGAAAAGATATTGAAGAAGAAAAGTTACCTACTGTGGCTGACTTGTAGGTTGTCATCCCGGGCTGTAGCCCCACATTTAAAGATCCCGTAATGACCGTTTTGCCCATACCATCCCCCAAAAACACCACATTCTTTTTCTCAAACGGAACTCTAACCGTCTCCTCATAGACCCCTTCTTTTATGTGAATCACAAACCGACGTCTCATTTCGTTATCCGGCGCGGCGTTAACGGCATCCTGCACCGTCGTGTAACACCTCGCGTTCCCGTCCTTGCACACCGTGGCGTCGGCCTTTAAATTCGACGGAAATCCACCGTTAAACCCCAACCCGCTTTCCCTCGGTGACCCGCGTCCCCCATAAAACCCGTCCCGCTCTGTTTTGGGTGGGCCCCACGAGGCCGTGTTATCTCCGAAATAATCGTGCGCCATCATCATGCTCAACGCGTTACTGTTGTACTCAATCAAGGTGTCCAAAAACGCCATCGTTTTGTCTACAAGGCTATTTGTGTCGTTCGCATAATTGAGCGCGCTCCAGCAATCGTACTGGTAAGCGTGGGCGGCAGACATCCATGCACGTGCATCCTTGATCTTGCCACGTGCCAACGCATCAACCGCCGATCGAATTCGCCGATCCGAGTAGGAGAGGAGCTCCAAACACATCTTTGCAGCGGCTGAACGGTTTTGGTGTCCCGAACCCGAAGAATCGTCCATGATGGATTTCACCATGCCCTGCGCCGTTTTCAGGTTCTGGGCGGAAACCCCAACGGCGGAATTGGTGATCTGGATTGCGGTTGGGTTGGGAGGGAGGGAAAGTGATTGTGCGAGGGAGGATTTGCATAGGTCGGGAAAGCGAGTGGACATGCATGCTTGATGGATCGCAGGGGAAGATGGGGAGGAGAGAGGGGCGTCATGGGGAGGAGGCTGGTGGTGACGATGAGGGGCGGAAGATGAAAGGGAAAAGAAGAGGGAGAGAGAGAGAATGGAAAGGAGGAGGATAGAGGCCATTGAGAGGAGGAAGAAAGCGGACTTCTTAGACAGGGAGAGCGAGAGAAGAGAGGATTTATTGGCAGGATTTTCTTGGGATGATGATGGGGAAAATGTTGTCGGCATTGTGACTGTTTGCAGTACAGTGGGATCTAATTTTCTGATTGATAAAAACAAAAATGATATAGTTAAAAACTTAAAAGGTTGCATGACACTGTGTGACAAAGATGTCCATTTATTCTGTCGGAATACTTTTCCAGCCCAAGCCACATGGGGACCATATCATATCAGAAACAGAAAACAGATGATGACTTTTCTACGTCATTTATAGCGACCGTTGACGAAACTTGGGTCTCGAGTCCTCTTTTGTAACCAATTTTCAAAAGAGGCCACGTGATATTCGGCATCATCAAATGCGAAGAAAATTCCTTGTTATCCCCATAAGCATTATTTTCTCAATCGATTAAAGAATTGAAAGCAACGCACAGATGGGCCAATATCTTTTCTCATATCCATACCACCTGTCCTGCAAATCAAGAAAAACTGTGCTGACCTAGCTCATTAACATCATGGAAAACTCTCTGCCCATTAAGGTTCGTTAGAAGTCTCTTTTTTCTTTTTTTTTTTTGTTTGTTTTCTCTCTCCCAACAGTTAAAAGTATAAGCTTGATGGCATAAGTCTTAAATTTAAAATTTAAAATAGATAACAAGGGATTTAGACGGGTGAAGACTCTCCTTCATGTAACACTATATATAATAAAAAAAAATTATTAAAAATTTATGTGTCAAATTATAAATTTGATAAATATTTGTAGGTTTCATTTTTTGAAAATTTAATTTTTTTTATTTTTTTAATAAAATATTTCAATCTTGACTTCTTTTTCAGAGTTATTTTCAAATAAGTAAAATATTTGATTTTCTTGTTAGATAAGATCAAAATCTTTTTAATAGGAAAAAAGTGATCAATGGTTTTTATTTTGTGTTTTTCACTTGTTTTTTTGTTATCTTCAATCTTCGCTTCTCAAGTTCCTTTTTAATAGGGTTTTTGAAATTCCTCTTAACAATATTCTTCAAAATCTCTCTTAACAATGTCTTCAAAATCCCTCTTAATAGGTTTTCAAAATCTTTCTTAATAGGATTTTCAATTTATTTCTCATTTATGAGGGAAACTTAATCCTTAGAATTTACTTTAGGGTTTTCTACTTCTAAAGTTTATCAAGAAAACTTAAAGAGATATCCTATTTATAGGCATGGATTAAAGAGTTATTTCAGGATTAGAATTTCTCTGTCAACTATTTTCATAGTAATTTAGGATAAGAATTTTATTCTTATCCAACAACTAATAGAAATGCTTTAATCTTATTGGCTAGAATAATAAATATTTTTGTTTAATAAATATTTTCTTAAGATATTATTTCTTGAAGAACAAGACTTTTCCTTTAGGTATCTTGAATTGTGATTGGAACACATAACACATGTCATTTTGTGATTGGTCCAAAGACATCATCAAAATAATTTTAATAGGTCAAGAAGAATATTAGAATAATATTATTTTTCAAGACCTAAATTAACATATAGCATTTTTTAATTGGCCAATAATTTTTTCATGTCTACAAATACCCCATTGAGACTTGTTTATGTGCAATTTTGTTGTGATGTAGATAAGTCTCAATTTTTTTTAAAGCTTTTTTTTGACTTATTTTGAGCTTGCCAAAAACTTGGATGCCCTCATAATTTCTAGCATTTCTTCAAGCTTGAATTCCTTTTTCTTTTCAAATGATTGCAGAGCATCTCTTCAAGAGAATTATAACTTTTGCGAAAATTGATGTGGGAGACACATGAATTAATGA